CTTTAATATTAATGAATTTAAGTTGCCAGGCACTTTTAATGGATGTTATCAGCAAAAATTTATGTTTATTATATGTATTTTAAAATCTTTTGTTCATATAATTTTTAACGTTTAAAAAAAGAAAGGACAATAAAATTAGAATATTAACTGGGAAATAAGCCATAAAATCTGGAATAAAAATTTGAAAAATTTACTTCGGTATTTCATTTATTCTTAAAAATAATATGAAAAATTAAAACGACATTTTAAATTTATTTTTAACTGGAAGACTTTTAATAAATATTTTTAAACCACAAATGTTAACCTCCTTTTAAGATTAAATCTCTAAACCAACTTTCATTTCTAATGTGTTGGTGACAAAGAGGGAAGATGGAAGCATGTGATATACAATAATTCGAAAACAAACCTATTACCGTTATACTGTGGTATGTCTGTGTCAAACCACAGTACGACATGCACACACATGTCCAAAAGTTTGGAATACTTACAATTAATATATCTACGCCTATGGTGAGTTTAAAAGTGTTCAAATCATGAATGTGTTGCTTGTGTGAGTCCATTTCAAATAGGTAAAGAAATAATAAATAAGACTTACTCACAATCAATTTAATTTAACTATCAGACGACCGGTTTCGCTTTCTACAATATGCAAAGCATCTTCAGGTCTCGATACAAAATTAAATAAATGCTGAAATGATAAAAACCCATATTAGGGTGTTGTCTAATAAAGATAAACAAATTAGATGTTATAAATTACAATAATTATGCCAATATTACATGTCTGTGGTTTTATTTAAATGATTGAGTTGAATAAAAGGTATAAAATTTTTTTTAAAAAGGTTAAACAGACGTAAAAGGTAGATGTAAAAACTACATTTATTCATTGTCATAAAATGTCACCTTCATAAAACAATTACTCAATAAATAACACACATTTCGAAAATATATCTCTGGAATAAGTATAAATAACTTTTAATAACACAATAGTATATTACATCACTTACATTTAATAAACAATCTCACACATATCTTAAATTCATTGGATCAAATCTATCTCCTCAAGAACTTCCCGTTTACTGTCAAACAACTGCAATAATAGTATTGAGTTCTCCATTTAACAATATAAAGTAGTTTCAAACATGTTCTACCATCCATCTATTAATAGAGTACCGGCATGTAAGTAATTTTTATTTTATTTATTTATTTGCTCATTTATTAATTTATTACAATAGAAGAGATTTTATAACAATTTGTGGGTCTTACCTTGTCTGTTTAACCTTTTTTAAAAAAAAATTTATACCTTTTATTCAACTCAATCATTTAAATAAAACCACAGACATGTAATATTGGCATAATTATTGTAATTTATAACATCTAATTTGTTTATCTTTATTAGACAACACCCTAATATGGGTTTTTATCATTTCAGCATTTGTTTAACTTTGTATCGAGACCTGAAGATGCTTTGCATATTGTAGAAAGCGAAACCGGTCGTCTGATAGTTAAATTAAAGTGATTGTGAGTAAGTCTTATTTATTATTTCTTTACCTATTTTAAAAGTGTTGTTTATATTCCTTCTAGAGCGTTTTTAAACGAAAATGATAAAAAAATTGAATCGTTTTTGTATGATTTTGGTCACATTCAACTGATTAGCGTATTTACACATTATTTCAGTCCTTGTTTAAATTTAAATTGAGCCCTTTAAAAATGCATAGAAACGTGATATGTCATTTTGACAGATCTAGAGTAATTGCTTTGTTACAATAGGGCTTTAGTCAAAGTTATACCGCAAATATTGCTGATGTTACTCAGAGTGCTGTATATCGAAAATAAAAAGAAGGTTTGCAGATTAAAATGACGTCAAGGATCGTCCCAAACGTGGTAGAAGTTGATGAACAACAGCAGGACAAGACCAGCAAATAACACTGATATAGTCCTTTTCCATCATATTGATAGCACATTATGTATGCAAATCCTCAACAGGTCAAAAAACCATAGGCGTCACCCTATACTTGTTTTGAAATAAAAACAAAAAATTAATATTTTAAGATGCCGTCAACAATTCATTAGCTTTTAAAAAATCTTCTGTAAAATAAGTGTCCACTGATCTGACTATACTTTTTTTGTGCGTAAAAAACGTCGGTATATATGCCACACGATTATTGTTAATTATGCACGTATAATTAACGAGAGAATTCAATGTTTCACAAAATAAATTAATGTAAACAGTAATTTAAAGGTGATTATTGTTTTCTATACAAGTTATCCCCTGACACAAAAAGAATATCTTCTTTGAACGATTACCTGGAATTACTGATAAGGCTTCACTAATGATAGTTTTTTTTAACAAAGAATTTCCAACATTGGACAAAATCCAAACATTAATTAGAGAAAACAAAGAGTTACCAATCATAAGCAACAAGAAATTATGGGGACTGTTGAGAGAGATAAGATTTCGTTGACAAAAGAATAGAAGAAAATCCGTTTTAATTGAAAAAGATTACATTGTATGTTGGAGACGAGATTATCTAAGAACTATTAAAAAGTACCGAGAAGAAGGGAAAACAATTTTTCATTTGACGAGACTTGGCTAAATGAAGGCCATACTGTACCATATCTATGGGTTGATACAAATATGAAAAGTTCCCGTCAGGCATTCCTCGAAGGTGTATCTACTGGAATATACAATATTCCCATTGGAAAAGGATGCAGACTCATAATATCCCATATTGGAAACAAATACGGTTTTGTCAATGGTGGATTATTAAGTTTTGACTCAAAATCAACCAAAGATTTCCACGGGGAAATGACTGCTGACGTTTTTGAAGAATATTTTGAGCAAATGTTGGATTTAATTCCAAAAAATTCTGTCATAGTCATGGATAATTCTAGTTACCATTCAAGACTAGCAGAAAAATTGCCAACAACGGCATGGAAAAAAGGAGAGATAATCGAATCTTTGGATAAACACGCAATTGAGTACAAGGAGAATTCGACAGAAAAGGAATAATTACCTATTGTAAGGCAACATAAAGTAGCTTATAAAAAATATATAATTGATGAAATGGCATTAAACCGTGATGTAATTATTTTACGTTTACCCCCATACCACTGTGATCTGAATCTGATAGAAAATATATGGTCTCAAGTAAAGGGTAAAGTCGGACGCAACAACAAAACTTTTAAATTAGAAGACTTACAACAATTATTAGAATATTTTTTATCAAAAGTAACCAAAAAAAATGAAAAAATGCTGTTAGTCATGCTCACAAGGAAGAAAATAAAATGTGGAATTTGGATAATATGACTGATGCAATGCTGGAACCGGTAATAATTAACATTGGAGTTGAAGATTCCTTAGATTCTGAAGAAAGCAGTGAATCTGAAATGGAATTTGATTAAAATAATATTCATTTTTTCACAAATCGGCCCCTGTTACGGCCACAAATTATTTTATATATAACCAATAAAATAAACATCTTACATTTCTTGCAAATTCATTAGTATCTGTTAATTTCCATCACTCCGACACTGGCAACTTTATTTAGGGATTAGTAATCCTTAAAACTATTCTATTCTGCTTCAACCTTTATACCTGGTGGACAAACTCAATTTAAAATTGGTTTTTTATATACTTCTGTAAACTTGTTGACAAATATCTATTTTTCGTTGGGTCACCCGTATCAACAGTTTAGGTATTTGCATACATAATGTGCTATCAATATGATGGAAATGGACTTTAGCTCGTAGAAATCGTCTGAAATCTACAAGTGGTATATCCAGAGAAATTTCTAGGCTTTACGAACTGAATATTTTACGGCAAACTATAACATGCAGACTAAATGCGGTAAATTTGTATCATATAGATGATTTGTATCATAAGACCGCTACGTGTTCCTAAACTAACTCACCAACACAAAATAGTAAGGTTGTAATGGACTACAAAAATTGTGCATCATGGTCCTAACTGGAATAACGTGATGTTTTCTGATGAGTCAAAAATTGGCTTGGTGTCTGAGTCGTGAAGAACACTGGTTTGGAGGGCCTCAGGACGATAAGCCTGACTAGAAACATCCCAACCGCGTGTCCCATTTGAAGGTGGTAGTATTATTGTGTGGGGTGGTATTTTAAGTGGTACACGGACGCCACTGCTGGTTGTGAAGAGAAGAGTCACTGGTGCTGTATGCATAAAGACAGTTTTAAATCCTATCGTAGGAAAGGAAACGCTCATATAAATCATGTTTTAAAAGAAGTTCCTCAGAGAAAAACAGAAGTAAACTGTGGGTAAGTAAAATTACGACAGTTTTTAGAGTACAGAGTTAAATAGATTTTTTAATATTTTAATCTGTCGAAAGAAATGTTGCCATATGTTTTCTTGTGAAAACAAGGCGGAAATTATTGCCAATCTTAACCAACCTTTAAACAAAAATGAGCAGGATCTATATCTGCATGGAGTCATAGACTAGAATCCGATGCAAAACATTAGAAACCGTAACTCATCGGTAGCATCAAGTAAGCATAAAAGTTATTTTTGTTAATACTATATTTGTAGTAATGGGCAGAGAAAAGAATTATGCAAGAAAGGTTTTATAAGCTTGCATGAAATTACAGTAAAAAGAGTTTATCGTTGATGCAAACTAAAGTCTCAGAACAAACTTCCTCGTGATTTAAGAGAAAAAGCAATATCGTCTAGGCATAATGCTATTGTTGGCAACTACTTGCATCGAATTCATGAATTTGTTGATTCGTTACCTTAAAAATAAGTTTACTACTCGAACAATCTTTAAAAAAATACCTGTCTGCTATGATAAAATCATAAAACATAACTACTTATATTCCTATTTTAAAAAAAATTTCGATCTTTCGTTTGGCCGACCTCAGGTGGATGTGTGTTCACTGTGTGAAAATTTAAAAACAAACATAGCAGATTCATTTTTAAATGAAAATGCTAAAAGGGTTGCTGTAGCTGAGCTTCTAGTGTATAAAAGAAGAGAAGCAGAATGTGCAGAGAAATAGAGGATGTAATAGCAATAACAATCGACTACATGCAGAATCTGTCCCTTTCCCATATTCCTGTGCAAGAGGTATTTTACTACAGGCAGCTATGGATTTATAAATTTTGTATTCATGATATGAAGAACAACAAAGCCTTTTTTATTCATACCAAGAAGGAGAATCATTGAAATGTCCAAATGAAATATGTACATTTTTGCTCAATTTCATTGATGAACACGTACCCTTAACGGTAACTGAGTTGTATCTTTCCTCAGACGGATGCCCCGGACAAAATAAAAACAATACCGAAGTGCGATTTTTGTTAACGCTAACATCAAGTGGTCGGTTTCAAAATATCACACATTAGTTTCCAATGAGGGAACATTCTTTTAATGAATGTGATCGAGATTTTGCAGTGGCGGCCGGTCAGGGTCGGCAGGGTCAGCAGTGCCGACCCACATCTTTATGTATATTATAGATTTTTTTAATATTTAATTTAATTAGTATTTTAATAAAAAATTGTGGTAGGTAATCAGTTGATGTCATTTGTTTTTGTGAAACAAAAAAAATATCTGTGAGATATTAAAGATTGGATTTTATTCATGGTTTTTAAAAGAATCAGTCCAATCTGAGCGTTAAGTGATCCCTGCGTAGACACTTTTCAAATAGATGATTCAATATCGGAGACATCCATCCGCCTATGAATTCTTAAAAAGGCACGTTTTGTTTTTTGTAACCCAACCTTGACTCAACTTGTAAAAATCAACAGAATATTGGTTAATTAGCAACCAAATATACATTTCTTTCCATATGAACTTAATTACCAAGTACGGCAAATTTAAATTTGCCGATGTTTCATTTGGATTGGGGATTGGTCACGAACTGAACATTGCGAGCGTGAGACGAAATGTTATTTCATATATTGTAGTAAAGTAAAGTAATATTCTGTGCACGAACTAGCCTTTCTTTTTGTGATTCATTTTTATTTTCTAAAGTAATACTGTGATACGTTACGTCTGCCGTAAATAGTTAAAGTTTAAAGGTTTTTTTGACATATTAGAAGTTTTTTAAAAGTAAATAGTCTAGTAAATAGTAGTAAGTCTGATATTGTAAATTAAATTTTGCATAATGGGTTTTCATCTATTCCATACCAAGGACAAATTATTTTTAAAAATAAGAGGCGTCCTTTGCCTAAAATGTCCCGACTTTTAAATATTAGTGCGGGTAAGGGAAGTAATGGATCATTTTCAGATAATTGGTACAGCAATTACTCATGGCTTACCGGGAGTAAAATAAAAAACAAACTTTTCTGTTGGCCTTGCATTTTATTTTCTACAAATAGGGGCAAATATCAAAATCCGTGGTGTGAATCTGGTTACGATAATTTAAAGGAATTATTTAGGACTTTACATAAACATGATATTTCGAAATATCATACTTACAGTCAGATTAAATTAGATTTATTTGGAAAACAAAATATCTATGTTTCATTAGATAATGCCCAACGTGAAAATGCTATTAAACATAACGAAATTGTAAAAAATAATCACGCAGTTTTACGTCGTTCAATTGATATTGTAATTTTTTTATGTTGTCAGGAATTATCTTTTAGGGGACACGATGACATGTATCTAAAACATTCCAGAATGAAATAATAGAATCAATTAGTTACATTTTTAGTAACGTTATTGAATCTAAGATTCAGGAAACCATTTGCTTTTCACTAGAAGTAGATGAAACTACCGACATATCATGTCATTCACAATTATCAATTGTTGTTCGATACGCGTTACGTGATAATATCTATGAGATGTTTTTAGGTTCTACAAACGTGAGTAAAAGCCATAAGGCAGAACATATTTTTGGTGTTTTAAATGACAGATTAAAATTTTTTTATATCAAAAATTAATTGGTAGGGCAAACTTATGACAGCGCTGCCGTGATGTCTGGTGAATTAAATGGTCTCCAGGCAAAAGTTAAAACTATTGCACCGCAAGCTTTATTTACTCATTGTCATGCGCATAAAATGAATTTAGTTTTGCAAGATACATGTAAAAAAATTAAAGAATGTCGTCTTTTTTTTTCCAGTATAAGCGGATTTGCTTCATTTTTCTCAAGCTCGCCTAAACGGTCTAATGTTTTAGAACGGTTTGTTTCGAAAAAAATGCCAACAGTATGTCAGACGCGATGGAATTTTAAATCTCGTTTAGTTTTCACCGTAGCGGATTATCGTGAACAGCTTTTGGAAGTTTTTGATTTTTTTATTGAATGTGACGCTTTTGAAAGTGATGTTATCTCGATCCGTGAAGCTATCGGTTTGAAAACTTTATTAAATGATTACTCTTTTAACATACTTTTAAATATTTTTAAAAAAGTGTTTACTCAAACCGATTTGAATTTCAATGTTGTTCAAAATCAGTTAACTGACATTATTCATTCCAAAAATAGAATAACAAGACTGGTGCAAAATCTCAGAGATTTTCGTAATGATAGTAATTTCCAATATATACGCAGTGACGTTTTGGACTCGCTTGATATTTCCGAACCCCCAATAAAAAGACAAAGGCATGACACAGAAACAGATCTTGAAAAACGAGTATATTTTGAAATTTTGGATACTATTATTATGCAAATAGATACTCGTTTTTCGAATTTTGAAGATTTGCAAATTTTTGACCCCTTTGAAAATTCAAAATTTAAAAGTTACGCCATAGAATTTCCAAAATATTTATTAGACAGGTTAATTAAAAATTATCCATCATTCTTTAATAAAATAAAATTAGAAAATGAATTATAAGTTTTATATGCTGATCCAAATATTTTCGGAAGATGGGATAAGTTACAAGATATGTATAATTTTATATACTGCAATTCATTACAACAAACTGTTACCGAAATTAATAAATTATTGTCATTAATTCTCTCATTACCACCAAAATCTGCCTCAAATGAACGAGATTTCTCTTGCCTCAAAAGAATCGAAACTTATTGTCGAAATACCATGAAACAAGAGCGAATGTCAAGCTTAGCTGAAATGTCAATAAAAAAAAACTTTTAAAATCCCTCCAAAACTCTAATAAATTTTACGATGACGTTATTACCCATTTTGCTACTTCCAAACAACGTAGACTAGAGTTAATTTATAAACATGTTTAGGTTCTAAATTTATAGGAAAAAAACAAAAAAAAACAAGAAAACAAAAAATCTCCTATGATGATTGAAGTCTTTATTAGACGGTATACCTCTCTGAGATTTTGGATCTACGTCACTGAGATTTTGAAATTGTGAAAAGAAAACTATGAAAACATGATAGAATATACTCTCATGATAAATATATCTCTCTCATTGAGACATACTTTAAAAAGTAAAAAAATTAGTGTTCACAAGTTCGTTGGTACGAAAGTAATCGACTTCAAAAAATGGTGGCCACAAAACTATAAAAAGCAAGTTTTGTCAATATCAAGCTATGGCAAGAACATTGCCACTGATAAAAAAAGTTTCCTTTCAAGTCAGCAGTTTCTATGAGTTTCAATATTCTAAGGAAGCTGCTGGCAAAGTAACTGCACTTCCATTTATTGATGGAATAAGCCAGGAGTGTTTTGAATTAGTCAAAATACAAGAAAGCAGAGTTCTTCCTGACTGCGTTTCATATCCTGCATATTCCGGCAAATTGCCTATTAATCACAAAAAAACTGAAGACTTTTTCTTGGACTCGCACACATTTGTTTCGAAAATATTCTATTGGTATAGCGTGATTTAAGCAATTGACAACGATGGCATTGTGCAAACAACACATCCACTATCATCATCAATCAGCCAATCGCGTCCACTGCTGGACATAGGCCTCCCTCAGTTCTTTCCAGTGTTCTCTACACTGGGCTGCTTGTAGCCAGTTTCCCTCTACACGTTTAATGTCATCGGTCCATCTAGTCGGTGGTCGTCCTCGGCTTCTTTTATAATTTCTGGGTCTCCATTCCATAATACGTCTTGTCCACCGTCCATCTTGTGTTCTGGCTAAGTGCCCTGCCCAGTTCCACTTAAGCGTCGTGGTTCTTTCGATGACGTCTTGAACTCCTGATCTTCGCCTAATTTGTTGGTATGTTATGTGGTCTCGAAGGCTCACGTTCAGCATTGCACGTTCCATGGCTCGTTATCTAACTCTAAGTTTATTCTCAGATTTTTGCGTGAGTGTTAATGTCTCTGCTCCACAAGTTTGTACAGGTAATACACATTGGTTATAAACCTTTCGCTTGAGACACATGGGAATGGAACTTTTTAGAATATGGCTTAATTTGCCAAATGCCGCCCATGTTAGACCTATTCGCCTCTGTATTTCATGTGTTTGATTGTCTCTGCTTATTTTGATTTCGTGTCCCAGATATTTGTAAGTGCCTGTTTGTTGTATGGTATTATTGTCAATAGTTATATTTCCACTCATTACGAGATTTGTTAAAATTTTAGTTTTCTCAAAGTTTATCTTTAATCCTGCTCTTTCAGACAGACTTTTAAGCGAATGCATCATAGAAAGTATCTTGTAAGTTAATTGCATTAGTTTGCATAAGTTTGCAGATGATGTTGTATTAATCTGCGATTAATACAACATCATCTGCAAACCTTAGGTGATTTAATCTTTCTCCATCTATATTGATGCCCATATCTTGCCATTGAGTACCCTTAAATATTGACTCTAGAGCTGCCGTGAACAATTTTGGTGAAATATTGTCTCCTTGTCCAACTCCTCGACCTAAGCTGAATTTTTCTGTGTCTTAGTGCAGTCGTATACTTGATGTAGCGTTCTGATAGATGTTTTTGATTAGTGTCGTGTACCTGTAATCTATTCGGCTTTGATTTAGGGCTTCCAGTATTATTTCAAACTCTACAGAATCAAAAGCCTTCTCGTAATCGACAAATGCAAGAACCAGTGGTATGTTGTACTCGATGCACCTTTCTATTAAGATCTTTATGGTATGCAAATGGTCATTTGTGCCATATCCTGCCCTGAAGCCTGCCTGTTCTTTGGGCTGATAGAAATCAAGTTTAGGTGTTAGCCTCTTTGTTAAGATTTTCATAAAGAGTTTGTACATATGTG